CATGGCTAAAGGAACGGATGGTATGCAAACGGTAAAACCAGAAGAAGCATGGACTAATGAAGAGATATTACTTGCCAATTACAACTCAAGGGCGATAAACTCAATTTTTAGTGGCGTTGGTGACAATCAGTTCAAACTGATAGCATCGTGTGAATCAGCAAAAAGGGCATGGGAGATCCTACAAGTGACGTATGAAGGCACATCAACTGTTAAAACATCTAAGCTGCAGATGTTAGCCACGAGATTTGAGAGTCTTCATATGGAGGAGGACGAGACGATTGCTGATTTCCACGCTAAGTTGTGTGATATTTCAAATGAATCGTATGCATTAGGTGAACAATACTCGGAAACAAAGTTGGTAAGAAAGGCACTACGTTCATTACCAGAAAGATTCGCTTACAGAGTTGCAGCAATCGAAGAAGTGAGAGATATCAATACGCTAAAGCTAGATGAACTCATGGGTAAACTACAAACCCAAGAAATGAATTTTAGAGCAAATATTCGAGAAAAGAAAAAGGTGAAGAATGTGGCATTCCAAGCTGAAGCTTCCCATGGCATCTCACAAGGCCAAACATTTCATGAGTGTGACATTGATGTTGAAGAATCCTTAGCAATTATGTCAAATAACCTCGAAAGCCTGCGTCAAAAAATTGAAAATAGAGAAAATTCCTCTCAATCAGGTAAGTCTGTTAACCCTAACAACTTTAAAAAGTTTTCTAATAATGGTTATTTTGGTGATGCAAAGTCTAGGAGAAAGCAATGTCGAGAGTGTGGGGGTTTTGGACATATTCAGGCCGAGTGTGCGAACACTTTGAAGAAAAACAAGATGTCACTCACCACTGTTTGGAGTGATAAAGAGGACAGTGATGAGGATGAGAACAGCAAAGGAGATCAAACCACTAAATTTATGGCATTCAGTGGTACTACTTCGATGAGCAGAACCGAGGGACGAACTGTTGCAACAGTCTGTCCGACAGATTTCAGGTATGATGAATTATCTTTAAATAAGGACAATAGTCTGACTTCATCATTTAATTTTGCAGGTGAATCTGAGAGCAGTAGTGATGATGAAGAGCCAACCCTCGAAGAGGTGAAAGATGTATATGAAAAAATGTACCGGAAGTGGCTTGAAGTATCTGAGGTAAATAAGCGCCTTGAAAATGATAAGCATGTTCTCATAGAGGAAAATAAAGTGTTAAAGGTAAGAATTTCTACTCTTGAACAAAATGTTATTTCTTCTAGTAGAGAAATAGATAGCTTGCAGGCTAAATTTGCTCAAACCCAAGATGTTATTTCTAAGTTTAATACTGGTAGAGTAACTTTGAATGAAATTTTGAACAAAAATCAGCCGAACTACTGTCGTATAGGTATAGGGGGTAATCAGCTATCTAATGATGCATTGAAACAGAAAGAAGATCCAAAAAGAAAAATCAATTTTGTTAAACAATCCACTGTTTCACGAACTGTTGCGACAGTTGCATCAACTCAGTCATCTCAAAGAAAACGTTTTGTCCCTACCTGTCATTTTTGTCATGCTCCTGGTCATATACGACCTAGGTGTTTTAAGTACTTGAAATTAGTTAAAAGAATAATGGCCCGCTCACCACTTTCCGCTAAAATTGATCACACTTCTGTGTCGTCTCAAAAACCCAAGATAAAGGTTGATTTAGTGAATAAAACTCAACAAAAAATCTGGGTAAAGAAGTCTGATCTTAATTGTTTATCTGCCATTACTTCTTTAAACTCATGTGATGATAGTACTAACTGTTCCAACAGTTCTGGTGACAAAGCTAGTTTTGGGAATAAAAAACTTGGTAATCTGAATTGTGATAATTTGAATGCGAAAAATAAGTTTATGAATCCAATTCAGCATTCGAGAACTAAGCTTACTGATATCTGTCATTGTTTCATAAGGGGCTTGGTCGAAAAGGGGGTTGTCTCAATTGATTATGCTGCAACGGAGAATGAATTAACTGATGCTTTTGCAAAAACCCTTGATGCACAGAGATTTGATTCCTTGCGAAAATCGCTGGGAATTTATGTTGTTTAATCTGATGCAGTTGCATGAACTGTTGCAACAGTCTGTGTGTCCAGACTTGCAACTTTTAGTGGTAGGACACTTCATATGTTTTGCATCTCATATAGGATCTGCATTAAGCATACTGCATATGATTGAGACAAATGTGAATTTGAGACAACGTGTATTTCTAAATTTTGTGGGGTAGAACTTCACCAATTCCCAAAATGATTACTTAAAAGGCTCCAACTTATTTATTTCTCTGAATAGTCTTGTCATGGTTGGATGTTTTTATAGGGAAAAGCTGCCTCTTTTAATGAGTGAAAGCTACTCTTGAACTACTGTTACTAATATGTATATCTACAACCATTTGGTCAGTGAATAGTTCGAAGCCTTTTTGAGTCGAGTCAGTAAATCACGTGGCCGAAAGCTCGCTACAAGGCTCAATTAGAAAGCCCAGGGGACTACACATTGCACGGCCAATATAAATTATATATATGGTCAGTGAATAGTTCGAAGCCTAGTTGAGTCGAGCCAGTAAACCACTTGACCGAACACTTACTACAAAGCTCAATTAGAAAGCCCAGGGGACTACACATTGCACGACCAGCATAATCTCGTTCCTTTTTAATTGCTCTGTTTTTCATGGGAAAAAGCTACCATTAGACGTGTGTGTACGCTACCTAATAAGAGCATCTTTGTGTTTGATTTGGGATTATTAAGTTTGTTGGTTGCATTGGCAGTCGGATTTTTGGGGATTGCGCTTATCGTGAATGTGAAGATAAATCCCATATATTTTGTTTGTCCATGCAGTATCCTATTCACATATGTCTCTTCACTCATGTCTATTTCTCATGTTTACTTTTTGTACTGCATTAGGCATTATTTAATAAAAAAAAAAAAAAAAAAAAAAAAAAAAAAAAAAAAGAGAGAGAGAGAGAGAGAGACGGGATTTTTGTTTATGTGCCGGTTAAATTTTATTTTTTGTTGCAACCGGATCGATTGGGCTTACTCCTCACATTTCCACGTTTCTTATGAAGTTTGGCAAAGTCTGTAGTCTTTGCTATTTAATGTTGGATTTGATATCACCATCCTTTGATTTATGCATTGCAATTATCGTGTGGTATTGAGTTTGTGAGTTTGTGATTTTCTGTGCACGTTATGTATAGTGATTCTTCTCACTTAGTTCCAAGATTCTCTCTTCGTTTTGATCTTTTTGTTAAGTGTTTGAACAGCTTGCTTGACTCATCAAGATCGTTAGTCCATGTTGAGTTATCTTTGCATGGTGATTGCCCAGAAAGGGGGAGAAAAGAACAGTAACGATGGCATGAACACAGGGGGAGTTCCACAACTGTTGCGACAGTGCATCAGACAGTTGCTGGAACAGTGCAGGGGGAGTTCAGACAACTGTTGAAACAGTGCATGAGACAGTTGCTGGGCAGAAATATAGGACAACTAATAAGCATTGTGCAGAGAAGTTGTTTCTGCTACTGCATATCCTTTTATCTCGTGCTTATCTGAACGAATTATCTGCTTTTATTATGGAACTATGGTTTATTTACGGTTTACACTATATGCTGAACTGTTTGATAAACTGTTGCAACAGTTTATATGTGCAGATGTTATTCTGAATTTGCTAACCCTTGTTCATGCAGTTATCATATATTTAGGGGGAGTAAATGTTCTGACCAATCAATGCCAAAGGGGGAGAGTGTTAGAATCTCGTGGGATTCTAAGTCCACAACACCAAGTGAAATTCTATGGAGATGTTTATTGTCATTAATTGGTTTAGGTCTTCACAAGAATATAAAAGGAGGAGCTATAATGCCGACGTTATTTGTTGAGTCTCTTATCACGTGGATGATTTACCACGTCGCGTTCCACCGATCTCCAAGCCTACCAAGCCAAGTAAGCAAAGGGGAAGAATGAATGCATTTGCAAGAGGAGCTGCCTAAGGATCATTCACAGGGGGAGATACACATGCAGGGGGAGTTAACTTTGTTGTGAACCACCTGCCGAAGCCACTACTGCTGGAACAGTTGCTGAAACTGTGGCACTTACTATTGCAGCAGTTGATGTCACTCTCGTTGCTGAAAGAGATGATGATGAGCT